CCCCAAAACCCCAAAACCCCAAAACCCCGTAACACTGAAAGTATTTATAGTTAGGTTAAATAAAAATGATTAATTAAATTAATTGATGATGATTAGAAAATTTCACTAGCATTAATTGATATAAAATGTTTATTCAAGATGATACAGTGGGTTTATTATTAATTAAATGGTAGATCAAAAGGTTTTTAAAATTGACAATACTTTCCTTGATGGAGCTCAAAATTCTAAAGTGGTGTTATTGATCCTCAATAGACCTATCCACAGACCTTTATTTGATTAATTTATCGCTCTTAGTCCTGAGATTATCTGTGCTGATGGAGGAGCTAATAGACTTTACGATTTACTTGAGGATTCTGAGGATAGGTAGGTTTTTATTGAGCAAATATCTTGATTATAAATGATTCCAATTTTAACCAATTTAGATAAAAGTTCTTACCAAGTGCTGTGATTGGCGACCTAGATTCCTTGAGAAAAGAAGTGAGGGATCATTACCATAAATAGAAAGTGGAGATTCAAGATCTAAGTCATGACCAGGATACTACTGACTTCGAAAAATGCTTCAATCATTTGATATCTAAAGAAGCTTTTTCTGATGATATGACAAGATTCCTGGTGCTTGGTGCTTTTGGCGGAAGATTAGATCATACAATGAGAAATATTTCTTACTTACTAAGTTTACCTGAGAACATTAAGGCTTACTTCTTAGATGAATATTCCATGGGGTTCAGGGTCCCTAAAGGGAAAACAGAGATTAAATTTTCCAAGAAATTTGAATTTACCAAGGGATGTGGGATTATCCCAGCTTAAACAACTAGGATTTCAACTAATGGGCTGAAATGGAACTTAGGATAAGCCCCATGGGATGTAACATCATTGGATACTCAAATTTCAACATCAAATGAAAGAGTTTCCAATGAAGTTACTATTGAGTGCGATAGAGATATAGTATGGATGAGTAGCTTGAATTTTTTGAACGAGTGATAACCAATTTTGATAGATGCCTTAATATTTCTTAATTTATCTTTATTTTCTTGGAACAGAATGAAGGGGTTTTGGGGTTTTGGGGTTTTGGGGTTTTGGGGTTTTGGGG